AGAGAGAGGGGGAGGGAGAGAGAGAGAGAGAGGGGGGGAGAGACTATTTATCGTGGTGCGATCCAGGGTTTGATCCGCCCGTCGGGGCCAAAAATAAAGTTGCAGCTTTCGAATAAAATGGTCTGACTTAGTGTCGCTGTGACGAAGAAAACCTCGGGCAGGCGGAGTTCGCTGGACTGTGAAGCTCGTCGGGTTCGCAACGTGTCTCTCTTACAACCAAGCGTGCGAATTAGCCTAGATCCTGGCATGGCAGAGCATTTGCAGAGCATTTGCAGACGGCAGCGTCGGGCAATCGACCCAAATGCCAACGCGTTTGCATACAAACACACGTACTTCCAAGAACAATCGTACGCCGTTGCAAGGTGAGTACGACGGCTTGTTCCTGCCTTAATAAATAATAATACAATAAATAGTACAATGACATTCTTAATGTATAATTATGTTGTAAATCACAACTATCGACTTGTACTAAATTGAAGCGTACCTTATCTTCCATTAGCTTATTTGCGACTTCGCTACTCCGATACTCTTGCAATTGTCACAGATACTCCCACCAGCAGTTTAGTGGACGGTGAAATGATGTGTTAACCGGTTCCCGTGCAAATGAGATAACGCAGGTCGCACAAATGCGCTGCCTTCGCCATTTCAGAAACACAAAATACAATTTCTCAGTTGGTACACTCAGTTAAATAATAGCAATTGACCTTCAGATAGTCCAAGGAAAAAGTATTGTCACAGAGGCTGATTGAATACAAATAAGAAATTCTACGTTTTCAATGCTTTCATTTGAAATTGGTAGACTTGGTTGTAAACTTTTGAAAATGTTTCAAGGACTTCTTGTAAAATTCAGAATTATATTCAAACTTCCAGGTTCTGGAACAAGTTCAGAAAGATTGGGGGAAATTCATTTAGGCAAAAATCCTACCTATAGTGCAGGCGCTAGTAATGTTCATAGATGACTGACTAACGTTTTGCCGTAAATCAATGTTTCGGTATGGAAGACTTACAAAATATGGATTCTGACTACACAATAAAGAAGTAGTTTACTGTATACGCGACCGAGAATTATTCACTTTTTCAGTGTCTGGGGCCCCCCAACACCATTTTTTCGTGGATAAATCGCCGGTTTTAGCAACAGCATTACAGTACTTTCTCCCAAGTACGTATATTACTCATTGTATACGTACGTTCACGAGAAAGACAATTAAAAATCAATAAGTCAATAGGGACGATAAAAAATAATTCGCACACTGTTTTCATATTCTTTTATTTCTCGAACACTACATATTCGCTTAGCACGGATCCTCTGGTGGTATTTTACGTTCAAGTTTCATTTGTGTTTTCAAATTCATAATGGAAATTGATTTTGAACAAATTAAAGTTACCTGGCTCGTCTATTTTCAGGCCAGAAGACTTTGTTGTAAAGTGTTTGCTACCAGCAAGCGATGTTACGTGCGAGACTACGAGAAGGTAATCTGTGATGTCCTTTCCTGTCAAGATATTACGATTTGTCATGTATTGCTCTTGTACTTTAGAGAGACACACCCTACACTTGCCACGAAACGGTGTCTTGGTTTGACGAGTCCATCGATGGAGGTGGAGCTGAGAATTTCACGAGACGACAAAGACGTAATTAGGGCGTTTGCTACACGTGCGCTCCCACAGGAAGCCGATGCACTGGCAGCGACGGGGCCGGCAAACGCCACACGATGCGCTCCACCTCCCCGCCGCCAAGTCCCCCTTCCGGCACTTGGAGCAATTGAATTAGCAAAGCACCACACACTCTTTCTACGCTTTAACAACATAGTGAAAATATACAAGAATCAGAACTAAATTCAAGATTACCACTCTTTTGGCAATAATAAAAATTCAAACTTTCTATGTAGGCAAAAATCGAACATTTTAGAAAACCTATTTTTAGATTTTTCGAAAATTACACTCTTCACTGACGATGCAACAGTTTCTGCCGAAGTTTGCAAATCCAACAATCAAAGCTGAGAGATTCCATAACAATCGATACCTGCGGCGTCAATTATTCACGGAGTGTTTTACTTGTACAGATTCTGCTGCTTGTGGTTTCGAGACTAGCAGCGAGCAGCGGTAGAGAATTTTCGGGCACAAAACAGTCCTACTTGCAGCTCACCAACAATACAGCAGCTAACAGCCATTACGATTGCTAACAGAAACTCGTGCGATCAAAACGCACAGGAAGTGTAAAGCCGAATCCATTAACTTGGCCGGATGTGCATTTACCATATTCATCTATTCAAACAGGAAAAGGAATGCATTCTCTGCCTGGCCTGCTGTAACTCACCCTGCCCCTTGTCATCGTCGCCCTGTGCCGCCTCGCCTGACCTCGATACTACCCGCCGTACTGCCAGGTAGTGCGTGTTGTCGACATTACAAAAATAATACTAATACCTAATATATTAAAGGCGTAAAAGGGCTGCGAAATTTACGTTGTTAGAAATGCGCTACTAGAATGGAAACGAGAACATGGCGTCCTGCGCAACTTGGCAAGTTCGCGAGAAATGGAAGAGTAGTTGATCTTCCTTAGAGAGCATCGTGTTGTGTGATTGTTAAAATCGATTGTTTGAAACTATCAATTCAATGTTCTTTAATACATCGTTCTTGTTATATTTACGGAAAAAACGAAAGAGGTGAGGGAGTTCTGATTATTATTAGGAAATTGTATTTCACACATTTTGCTACATACGTCAAGGTAAAGTTGGTACCAGGATTTGCTGTTACAGAGCAAAACAATATCCATGAGTATATGTGTAAAATTCCGGATAAATATTCGAATAGTCGTAAAACAATGTATATCCATGGAAATGCAGTATTTTCTGTTGTAACTTTGCTACTGCACTTCATCCTATGCAATGCAAAATCCACAAAATGACAACTACATGTGTAGACATCGGGGGCGCCCAGAGGAACAGCAAGCTAATAGCTACATTTGCTTCAGCTCCAAAATATCTGTCAAAATGTTTCGTACGATGTTACATCACTCCACCAGAAAACAATACATGCCATGTCTTAATAGTTTGTTTCTTTTACAATCCATTTATTTACGATCAGAATATACATCGACCAGCCTTCCGGCTCTTGATAGATGGCGCATTCTAAGATAAGTATAGTGATTGAGGAAACTTATCGAGCACCACCACAAGAATCTCTGGAATGATATGAATTGCTGATGCAACGTCTTATTAATTGAACTTGTGTCTTATTATCTTAGTACTTTGTTGAGGTTTGATAACCTCGCATCATTCATCTTTAATAAATCAGTGTGTAAACAGTATTCAATAGATTACTACACAATGAGACGCTCTTACATTACATAAATCAGTTTTATCAAACAGAAGAACATAATTGAATTACAATGCACAGAGATAATACGACACGTTAGCACTCGTTCACTCACTCGTATCACAGTCGTGTTATTTGAAGCCGTAATATTGAATTACAAGTGCAATAAGTATCACCGATAACTCTTTGCTTTTTCGCTTCCATATCTTGTTTCAACCAATGAATTACGCTTCAAAATACGCTGTATGAAGCGACACTGTGGCAACCACAGGCCGACGAGCAAGATACTAGGTTTCGCTGCTCTAAAAGAAAATAGTAGTAATAATTTCTTATTTTTATAAAAATATTAATTTGATTACGAACAGAATGACACCCTCCATTATTGAATTCGCCTCAATTATTTGTAGATACGGCTGAAGATCATATTGCTAGGATACGCACTAGTTAGATTCAATAAGGTCTGCTTGGTGTACTAATAGAAACACTAGTGAAAATAGTTAAGCAATGCGCTTGGCGGGTATTTTTATGCAATATAGAATTTTTATATTATGGGAGTGTAACTGTTTTTTGCACGACTGAGTTTGACTTTCGATTTTTTTTTTTGCGGAGAGTGATAGGTCGTTAACAGGACTTTGTTTTGCAACATAAAGCAGTGAGGCATTGTTGTTTCATACGAATTCCCATTGAATAACTCGTACATCGTAGTTATAATGACTGTGTTTTAAATGGTTAAAAGCAATGCCACAGGAAATGTTCCAATTTGCGAACGCTGTAGTACCTACTTTATTACCCACAATTCCCAAGGTATTTCCGAAAACAACATACCATCAGTTGATGTACATGTAAGAGGTAATACAATGTATTATATTACGTGTCAACAGTTACATACTAATTATGTATTAATGGTTAATAGTTATTGCGAAGAGTTTAAAAATAATGAAATTGAAGTTATTGCTATTAATATGCTTTATCCTCTTGTAGGCTGCGAGACGTTTTTCAGACATTTCAAGAGACGAGCGCCCAAGCGCGCGCAGCAGCACGGACGGACCCGCTTTTCCAAAAGATCGCAGAAAAGGGGTTTATTTATTTGTGTGTTGCAAGTCATGAACTACATTTTAAACAGAGGACAGTGGCGCAGATCATCCATTTTCAGGTATAGAAAATTTTACGGAAAAGAGTACATTAAATTACGTTTAATGTTACTATTTTATTACAAAATTGCATTTAATTATTCCTATTCCGATGAATTAATTCATAATGATTCATGAAAATGCCTCAAAGAGAGTAGCGATTCACAGCGTTCCGCTAAAAAACTTATATGTACATTGAAACATTAAACTTACAGGTTTTTTCTATATTTTGTTTCCACAGCGTTCATGAAGGAATCGGCTAGGAATTGAGCCAAACGATGAGTGTTGTCGAGAGGATTAGAATGAATAACAGATACCCTACACCCGCGCTGCACGAAGTAGTGATGCGACATCGACAACAAAACATCGATGTTAAAAATGTATCGACTGAAAATCATCGATGTTTTTAGACTGGATTATTAAGCTGTAACATTAAATTCGTGTGCAATAAAATTTAATTTGACATTGTTCATGTTTATCAATTCGCCGAATAAGGATGCGAGAAAAAAGGGACAAGCCCTATGCCCACAGTGTATTTGTTGCCCACATCTCAATGTGCGAAATGAATATGAAGAAAGAGCGAATACACGTGTATCGAGCTCATCTCGGACGAGAGCTTTTGGTCGATGAAGGTAGTACAAACAGAGTTCCTTTCGTTCAAACACATCATCTAACAGTGTTGCCGTCAGTTATATTTCGTAATGTAACTTTTACAATATCCTGATCATGGGTATTTTTTCTTTCAGAAAAAGAAAAGAAAAAAAAATTGATGTTTCTACAAAAACATCGACAGCGACGTCGCATCCCAAATGCGAAGAAGACACCCAAAGCACAAAGCTCCTCTAAGGCGACGCCCTACAATCGTCTAGACGATGAAAACTATGAAACAAACGAGGCCCAATCGAAAGCCCGAGACACACTGAACGGCACCTTCGATTGGCGATCGGAAGAGCTCCATCCGTGCGCGACGGACCGAGGCTATAGGGCGATTTTTAAAAGAAGGGGCCGTTTTGACATCCAGTGCTGTGGTCGTTGTGCCCTAGACTCTCCTTCC